TGTTTCATGTGACAGCCTCTGGTCTCTCTGTTTCTTTAAACACTAGTTTCTGTCATTGAACACTAGTTTCTGTACCAAGATTCTTCGTTTCTTTTTTTTTTTAGTTAAAAAAAAATCTCTCTATGAGTTCTTAATTCTTTATGCTTTTCATAGTGGTAGTTGTGTCTTTCCTTCCACCACCATCTTTCGAGTTTTGTGATTGGCACTAGTTTTGTTGAGGGTTCGATAATACAATATCCATGGTAGATTCCACCCGTGTCCACTACTTCTTAGACACCTAGGAGTGAGAGTTCCATTCTACCTACTACTATGATTGATAACCCCAACCCTATCTTAAAATCACCACCTCTCCATTTAATGGTCAGAATTATCTGCATGGTCACAGAGTTTGACTATTTTTTTGCAGAGCAGAGGGAAGATGGGGTATGTTGATGGTAGGATACAAGCACCCCGCACCATTGACCCGGGTTATGACCAATGAGAGATTACCAACTCTTTGATTATAGGTTGGTTTATTCATTCTATGGTCCCAGATATTGGTGAGGGCTACTTGTCTATGGAGACTGCCCAGGATATTTGGGATGCTGTGGTTGCCATCTATTCCCGCAAAGGAAATTTCTCACAGGCATTTGAGTTGTGCCATTCTATTGAGAGCTTTGTTCAGGGGGAGCAGGCTGTTCTTCAGTACTTCACCTTCCTCACCAACAGCTAGAAACGCCTTGATCACTTGCAGGACTATAAGCCTGTTTGCACTACTGATTCAGTCGAGTACAAGAAGTTCATTGCATAGGAAAGGGTCTTCAAGTTTCTGGCCGGTCTCAATGTAGAGTATGATCCAGTTCAGAGTCGGGTTCTAGATATGGACACTCTTCCTTCACTTCAGGCGGCATTCGCCTATGTACAAAATGAGGAAAGTCACCGGTCTGCTATGATGTCACCTGTCTCTACTAACCATTCAGCCTTACTGTCTACCCCTCGAGATGGCCTCAGCTTGACTTCCATTTCTCCGTCTGACGCCAAGGGGTCTGTATTCTATGATTACTATCACAAGCCTCAGCATACTCGTGAGACGTGTTGGAAGCTTCATGGGACTCCATCCGAGGGTCGATGGCATCGGTCTGGTTCTAGAGGAGGTCGGTCAGGCCAGTCTAGAGGACGTGGCTCTCATCCACAAGCTCATCAGTCTAGTGCCGTTGATACACTTGATTCTACTTCCGCTTCCATTGGCCAGGCTTCTGATAGTCTCTCTGGCATGACTACTCATGAGCTTGAGGATGTTTTGCCTCACTTGTTGGACCGCTGGTCTTCTACTACTCTCAGTACATCTTCCTCATCGTTTGCCTGCTCAGGTAATTTAGTCTCTTCTCCTCGTGTTTTCTTTTCTCATAAGTCTTTACCCTCGATTATTGTTTCTGGTGCCTTAGATCATATATCTAGATCCTCTAACCTTTGATCTGCCTATAAGCCCTCTTCAGGTCAAGACAAAGTTAGGATGGCAGATGGTATTGTTTCTTCTATTTCTGGGAAAGGTTTAGCCCATGTCACTCCTACCATACCTCTCACTTCTGTTCTCTATGTTCTCAATTTTTTTGTTAACATGTTATCCTTGAGTCGTATTACAAAGGATTTGAATTGTAGTCTGATTTTTTTTCCTGATCATTGTCTTTTTCAGGACCTTGTCACGAGAAAGACGATTGGCAGTGGTAGTGCAAAAAATGGTCTCCACTTCTTGGATCAACCGGACATGCTTGCTCATTCTTTCACCACGAGTCCTACTACCAAAGATGATTTATGATTGTGGCATCGGTGTCTTGGGCATCCTTCTTTTTATTTACTTAAGAATTTATTTCCATTTGTTTTTGCAAACAATAATATGTCTGAATTTCTTTGTGAGTCTTGTCAACTTGAAAAACAACACAGAGCCTATTTTGCTCGCAGTTTTAATAAAATTTTAGCTCCATTTTCATTAATACATTCTGATGTCTAGGGTACATCTCGTGTTATGTCTATAAAAGCTCATCGACGGTTTGTTACATGTATTGATGATTTTTCTCGTACTACTTGGCTGTATCTCCTAAAAGACAAGAGTGAGGTTTTCTATGTGTTCCGCGCTTTTCATAAGATGATTTGTATTCAGTTTGGGGCCACTGTCAAAATCTTTCGTTCTGATAATGGGGGTGAATACATAGATTCTGGGTTAGGGCAATATTTTTCTACTCATGGCATTATTCATCAAATCTCTTGCACTAATACCCCTCAACAAAATGGGATGGTGCACAGTGACGGAACGCAAGAATCGTCATCTTCTTGACATGGCTCGATGCGTGTGTTTTTCTATGAGTGTACCTCAGTCCTATTGGAGCAACTCTGTTCTCACCGCTGCCCATCTTATTAATCGTCTTCCTACCCAGGTCTTGCAAAAACAAGCTCCCCTTAAAATCCTTCTAGGTTCCAAGTCCTTGTTTTCAATTCCTCCCAAAATATTTGGTTATGTTTGTTTTGTCTACAATCACTGTCCTACTCGTGGTAAGTTGGAACCTCGTTCCGTCAAATGTGTTTTCCTTGGGTACTCTCCTACTCAAAAGGGGTATAAGTGTTATCACCCTCCTTCTCGTAAGTGGTTTGTGTCCATGGATGTCACCTTCTTTGACTCCCAGTCTTATTTCTTGTCCTCTCCGATGTCACAGTCCTCCCTTCAGGAGGAGCCTTAGTGTGAAGTGATGCCTATGATTCCAATGGTGGAACCAATTGTTCTCGCACCACCACCTCTTACTGGGACTACAGATTCCAATGTCATCAAGGATAGGGAAGGGCAAGTTTATGTTAGGAACAAAGACAGACATAAAGGTAATTGGATATAGGAAACCACTTCTGCTCACCCATTGACATCTCCTGCTTCTGATGAGAGTCCAGGTAACTTTGGATCTCTTGAGTCCATTGATCTTGATACTCCTATTGATCTTGATGTTCCTATTGCCAAGAGAAAAGGTGTGAGATCTTGTACTCAACATCCTATCTCAAATTTTGTGTCCTACTCTCATTTGTCGTCCTCATATAAAGTTTTGTGTCAAATATTTCCTCTGTTAGCATTCCTAACCATTTTCAGGATGCTCTTGCTACCTCTGAATGGAAACTTGCCATGATTAAGGAAATGAAAGCACTTTGGAAGAATTGCACTTGGGAATTGACTGAGTCACCTAAGGGCAAACAACCTGTGGGATGCAAATGGGTATATACTGTGAAACACAAAGCAAACGGTTCTATTGAGCATTACAAGGCTTGACTTGTGGCAAAAGGATTTACTTAGACATATGGCGTTGACCATCAAGAGACCTTTGCACCTGTGGTTAAAATGAATTCAGTCAGAGTACTTCTCTCTAGCAGCTAATCTAGATTGGCCACTTCATCAATTTGATGTAAAGAATGCCTTTTTCCATGGTGACCTAGAAGAAGAGGTATATATGGATATTCCTCCTGGTTTTGAGGATCATCAGACATAGGGTAAAATATGCCGGCTTCGGAAGTCATTATATGGTCTCAAACAGTCTCAAATGGTCTCCAAGGGCATGGTTTGAGAGATTCACTCAGGCTATGCTTAAATATGGCTTCAAACAGAATCAGGCAGATCACACCTTGGTTGTGAAACATTCATCACATGGTAAGACTACAACTCTCATTGTTTATGTGGATGACATAGTTCTTACAGGTGATGATAGTGAGGAAATCCCTCCGTTGAAGAAATACTTAGCAAGTGAGTTTGAAATCAAAGACTTGGAGAGTTTGAAGTATTTTCTGGAAATTGAAGTTGCTTGCTCCAAGGATGGGATATTTATCTCGCAGAGGAAGTATATGCTTGACCTGTTAAAAGAAACTGGGATGCTTGGTTGCAAAGCCTGTGACACTCCACTAGAATCCAATCAGAAACTGAGGGATGATGAAGGAGGCGCAACTGTTGATAAGGGGAGCTATCAGCGATTAGTGGGTAAGCTCATCTACCTATCTCACTCCCGTCCTAATATTGTTGTTGCTGTCAGTATGGTTAGCTAGTTTATGCATGCTCCTCATCAAATTCACTTCAAGACTGTCATAAGAATTTTGAGGTACTTGAAGTCTGCTCCTGATAAGGGTCTTTATTTTTCAAAGCATGATCATCTTCATATGGAAGCCTATACAGATGTTGACTGGGCTGAATCAGTAACTGATAGGAGATCGACGTTAGGGTATTGCACCTTTGTTGGAGGCAACCTAATTACTTGGAGGAGTAAGAAACAGAATATGGTTGCCAGGTCCAGTGCAGAAGCTGAGTTTAGAGCAATAGCACAAGGGGGTGTACGCTCTTATGGATCAAGTTATTGTTCAGTAATCTAGGCATTGATCAGACGGACTTCATGCGGTTATACGGTGATAATAAGGCTGTCATCAACATCGCTCACAATCCGTTTCAACATAACAGGACAAAGCATATTGAGATTAATCGCCACTTCATTAAGGAAAAACTCAATAGTGGCACAATATGTACTCCATTTGTACAGTCTAGTGAACAACTCGCTGACATTCTCACCAAGGGAGTTGGGAGTAAGCCATTGGATGCCACTCTCGGCAAGCTGGGTATGAGATATCTTCGCACCAGCTTAAGGGAGAGTGTTAGAATGGCGTATTATTAGTTGGTTTATTATTTGAATGTAGTTATTCTATGCCTTAGGTCTCCCTTGTAATTATTAATCTTCATTAATATAAAAAGAGGATGATATCACAATCATTCCCTAATCTTGGTATTCTCTAAAATTATCATAACTAGATCTAGGGAAACCAGCCAAGAAGAGAGGAAAAAAGGGGGGATACTGAGAGGGATTCTAACTTATTGAAGGGTAATAACACAACACATTGAGACAGAGGCCAGCCGGCTACCATGGCCACTGGAGGCGACTAGCTAGCGGTGAGGCCCAAGAGGAAGTGACGGTTTAGAGAGACAAAATGCAGATAATATTACTAGATAATACCTTTCCGTGGAGTTCCTCTTTCCAATCATCTCCACTCGTGTGTCTTGCCTGGGAAGTATAATCTAGAGCCACTAAAACCAAGTACACATGCATTAGTCAATAAAACGTGTCTACAAAATTATACAGAAAGACAAGCAATATCACAAAAACCAATACCTATTAAAGCATGGTAAAATCACAGCCAAACATTATACATGTCGTTCCACTAAAATATAAGGCTATCATGTGTTAAGCCAAACCATGCTCAAAAGAAAGAACGGCTTTTATAAAATGTACACCCAAAAGTATTAGCAGACACTAAGACTTGGAGCGTTACAATCCTCAATCAACAAAATGACGGAAAAAAAACAAAGAGTACTCATACGTTAAAGTATATCATGCATGAGAATATATTCATATGTTAAAGTATATCAAGCGTGAGAATATGAGGGTCTTGCTAATGGTCAAGGAAATTAAAGAGGAAAATTTACTTTGTGAAAATATGATAATGATATAGAAGAGTTAGGTTTAGAAGAGTAGGGTAACCTTATGGAGATTAGAGAAAACAATATCTTTGACAGAATTGGCGTGCTGACAGTAAAATATGATAATGATTTATTTATTTATTTATTAATAACGGAGCGCAAGTATTATATTCAAAGGAGCACCCAAGGGAGTGCAGCCTATGTACAAAACATACAACCAAACACCTATACATCAAGCATGACATAAATAAGAGTAAAATGTCAAAATGCCAGTTCAGTTTTCCTTGCCACTAAAAGGCAAGTGTTTGACCCATCGTCTGTCATCTACCTTTGACAAACTACTAAAGGCAACAACAAATGTCTAGCACAGACGCTATTAGTAGTCATGACTCAAGACAAATAAATAGATCTACACTTCTATGTGATGGACATATGAGAAGGGCACCAATAATTTAGTAAATATAAACATACAGCAAATTGCAAGAAACATACTTGATGACACAACTGGAATGCTACTTTGGATTTCAGATGACAGTTTTTGCTGCTCAAACAGATGTGGCTGACGCAAGGACCCTGATGTTTGAAGAGTTTGCTGCATATCTTGCTGTAATGACTTTGCCAGCTGCGCCTGTATCTGAGACGTCAATTGCTGTTTCGGTGGTTGTGACTGCCCTTCAGTTGGTAGTAAAGCTGAATTTGTCTGCTGGGTTTGCTGCTGCAATTCAATCTCAGCTTGTAACCACATATGTTTGTTGTCCTGATCGTTGTGCATGCTAGAGTTGCTAGATTGTCCGTTCAAACTAGAAGCATTACTTTGTTTGCTCAAGTGTTGCAGATTTCTACTTGAATGGTTGTTCTGGCCAAATAATTGCTGCTGGTGCTGCATGTCAGAGACAGCATTTTGATGGCCATTCAACTGATCGTGCATGTTAGTAGCATTTGGCAACTGCTGCTGCTGTTGATCCTGTAATGGCAATATCGGTTGCTGCAGCTTGTGCGTTCCTTGATGCATAACAGGACTCTGTTGCAGCTGTTGCTTTTCGGAGATTGACTGCGGATGTTGCTGTAGTCCAGATTGCATTGGCAGTTGAACAGAAGACTCTGGATTCTGCTGAAGACGATGTGATGGGGCTGATTGCATCACAGAAGGCTGCATAACAGAAGATGCTACAATGACAGATTGCTGTGATGGTGATGAGATAATGTGCTTCTGTTCCCCTTGCTGGATCTCAGTTTGCATATCTGAGTGAATGATATTTCCCTGATTGAAGCTCTGCTTCAGAAGCTGATCTTCTAATTTCTGCTTGTAAGGATATTTCTCTGCATTCTGAACATGCTGCTGATCTGGTTGAGGAACAACCGAAAGCACACATTGCCTTCCCTGCACCTGCCTCTGTGAAATAGCCGTCTCCAAGTTTGGATTCTTGTTAACGTTGGTCATAGGAATCCTAGTAGAATTAGTGGCAGTAGTCACTGTCAATGTTGAATTGGCAGAACTTTGTACAATAGAAGCAATACAATTTTGAAATTCCTGGAATAACAGCTGCTTAGATGCTTCAGGATGACTGGCCAATGGATTAGAGGGTGATTGTCTTTGACCACACAGCCGGGCCAGAGGCTTGTCAGATGCTATTTACACAAACAACCAAGAGAAAAAATAAGTTAAGAAGCAATTAGTTAACATGTTGCAACTAAAAACTTTAGTCACTTGAAACATTTTAATGTTTTCAGAATTCAGACTGAGATTATTCTGAAATTGAGAAGAATTGAGATTAAATAAAAGAAAAGGCAAGAACGAATTTGAGAAAATGAAAATGCTTATTGAGAAAGAAATATTCATGTATATGATAAAATAAGAAGAGATGATGGAGTAGGCACGGACTTCCTATTGCCACACATAAAAGCACCTTCTCAATTTTAATAACTACCTTGATGTGCAGAATTTTCAACGGTATAGGCAGGTCCTGATGGTGAAGAACTAACCAGGGTCCGCTGGGCTTTTGTCTTTAGTGACAGCAACTTTGAACATATCATGGACACATACTCCTCCTTAAAGTAAAAAAGTGAAAAATATTATTTTTGATGAAAACTCAAGCTCAAAATAAATTACTAAGCAGGTCCTCAGCAAGGATTTTTGTACTAACATAGAACAAATGACAAAATGATCTACAACCAGAAAGACAGAGAGCACATGCTGTATTTTATGGCATACAATCTTTGCAAGCAGAAAACAAGGTCATTAATAAACATACCTCACATGTGAGTGATACGATAAATTGTGGGAAAACAAATAAAAAGGAAAGCATGAACAATGCATGAATTCATGAGAAGGTAGACAGTAAATTCCCATCAAGTATAGAGAGCTAGTCAAAACAAGTTTGGAGTGTGACATGTGATGTGGCTATTCCGCAATAAAAACAAGGGTTAGTTACACTTTAACCCCTATGCTTAATCTGAAAACATATTACCCCATGACATTTAAAAATGTACACAACCTTGGAGTGCAAAATCGACGGATTCCATCAAAATTGGCAAACACACGAGCGGGATTGAGTGTGTATGACAAATTTAGAGTGTTCAATGACAATTTTACCCCTCCATTTTTTTCTTTACTTTTCTCTTTCCTCCTCCCCCTTCTTCCTCACGCTGCAACCAACAGCAATCTCACTCACCAATCACCTTTTCTCCTCTCCATTTTTTATTCTTCAATTGTCTTCTCTTCTTTCTTACTCTTTATTTTTCTTATCTCTCCCTCACCTGTTGAAGCCCCCACATATCAAGAACAACAACTGTTCGTGAGATGAGACAACCAGCCACTGCAATTAAACAACATCCAAGAAGCAGCTTTCACGAACACAAGCTTATAACAGTTGAAAACTGTTAGAATAGATGCTACTTTATTTTATTGTTATTAATTGTTATAAGTGAGGGTACTATTGTCCTTGTCATATATTCTATTCTAATATAAATCCGTTCTGTCTCTGTTTTATTTTCAGATTCCGAGGATGAGCCAGCCGATCCTAACATCATTTATGAGAAGCCGGACGACGAAGCCTCTTCCTTAGATAAAGATGTCTCTGACGCTACTCTCCCGGCAAGAACCACTTTTTCTATTGTGATAACACATATCTCAATAAATCAATGAGAAAGTGCTCTAAAATGGAAGTTTTTTTTTTAAGATAGAGCAAAAGGTATTTTAGGGCCACTATGTTCGCATCCCCCGACTCATAATCGAAGTGGTCTCGTCTGATCTCATGCGCGGCCATCATTAAGTCAGGTCTGGACTGCCTGCAGTTACGGAATCACCCATAGAAGCCCGCTTTACTCTCTCTCTATAAAAAGAAAAACAGCTTTCTACATCATCAGCGATGTTTGCGCAGGTTTTTCTTCCTTCTACCCAGCTCCTCGAAAACAACAAGGCAGAGTTTATTCGGGCTTTGTGGATTCAACAAACCAGGCTTTCGCTAAGGTGATTGAGCAAGGGGAGGTCATGGTGTTCCCTTGGGGCCTAGTACATTTTTAGATGAATGTAGGAAAATCAATGGCTACAATTTTTGGGAGCTTTAATTCCCATTATAAAACTACCAAAGCTACCTTGTCTACAGAAGAAAGGTTGAATGTGCACTAGCGACTTGCCCGATAGGGTCAAGGCCTACTTGGTGGTATTACCCCATTAGGGTAGAACCCACTAATATGCACCTTTCCTTTATTTGATGGACGATTCCTTTAGGAAAGTTGTCTGTTGCCATTCGGCAGCTCAACGTTCTTCGAATGATCTGATTTCTTTCTCTTTCGTTTCCCCCAAATCAACAAAAAAAGGAAATCTACCACAGATGTACAACCCTAATATTATTCCTATAATTCTCTCTTCTCTCTATCTCACCTTCTTTATCTCTAACCCTAATTCCATAGCTTTCTACAATCTAACTTGGTATCAAAGGATCCGATTCTAGTGTAGAAGATCTGGGACAACTTTGGATATCATCACAAGGTAACTACGTGCACTGATGTCATCCTGTGTACAATGACATCATCATGACATCAGCAACCATACAAACGTGGAGGTGCGACAAATATACCAGTTGATTCGTTTCTAACTTCTGAGGACTATGTTGATTTTTCTTAAAAAAAAATTGAAATAGTTTGATGGGAATTTTTCAATTTTTTTAATATTTTCAAGTTTTTTGGACTTATTTTTTCTATTTGGTGTTTGACCACCTACCCGATTGATTTTTTCATTAGAATAGCTTCTGTGAGCGCCCACTGAACTAGGGATGGTGCTCTTCGAAACCTGTTGCTGCTCCTTTGTTGTTTTTGATTGATTTAGCATGAGAGGCAGTGTCGAATTAGCTTACAACTATTTGAAATTGACTGTAATCGATGATTTCTCCCCTAGTGACCTGTCCCTGTGAGAATATTGTCTATACTAGGTTTCTCCTTTTTCCTTGTAGCCTTAGAGTTCTATATCAGTATGTATTCTTTTAGGCTTAGGAATTAGAGTTCAATATAAGTGATGTATTCTTGGTTTAATTCATTCAGAAAACTCACATGGTATCAGAGTTTCTTTGGTTATGATCTTTGGTCCGCTTAAGATTACCCACACTGATTCGTTGTGATTCAGCATATTGGTTCATCTCATATGTTCGTCACTTCTGTTCATTGTAAATCATTGAGTTGTTTGATTCATCTGATTCGTTCGATCCGTCTGGTTGGGTCGTCTGCTTCGGTTGGTTCAAGAGATCCATCTGGTTGCTTCGTCTCCTCGTGACCAATTCGCGAAAACCCTAGCAATTGGTTTGTGATCTCTCTCGGTGCTCTGAGTCGCGATCTCTCTGGTTCACTCTGGTTTCAAAATCGCGACATCAGGCTGTCGCTGGACTCATAAAGTTGGGTCGTCGCCATCTCTCGACTCGCAAGGTTGGGTCATCGCGACATCTAGCTGCCTTGTCTCTCACTCTGTCTGCTCTGGTTCGTTGTCTCTCTCTGTCTCTTACTCTCATTTGTCTGAGTCTGGTTCTCTCTACTAAACACTGGGTTAATGATATATTGTCAATTGGCTCTCCAATTTTTATTTATTATTCTTTAACCTCTCAGATTATTTATTTTTGTTGGTTATCACACTTTGCCCCATTAGTTTCCTTCTCTTTTCCTTCTGGTTCATCACAATGTCGAAAGATAAAATTCAGGCTATTAAATGCAAACTTACTGATGACAACTATCCTTATTGGTCTAGTGTTATTAAAAAATTTCTTCTCAGTCGAAAAAAATGGGGATATGTTTCTGGTTTTGTTTCTCGTCCATCGGATCCAACACAAGAAGAATATCTAACTTCCTGTGACACTTAGGATTGTGATAATGCCCAAGTTTTAACTTGGTTTCATAATTCTGTGGATGACCGTATCGGGATGATATTCTCTAAACACAGCACTGCCAAAGAGGAGTGGGATTACTTACAAAGTATTTATCAACAGTCCAACTTTGCCAAGCGGTATGAGTTGGAAACAGCTATTCGGAGTGCTCGTCAGCGGAATCAATCTATTCAGGACTTTAATATTGAGATGACAGGTCTCTAGGATCAGTTTGGCTCTTATGGAGCACCTAGTCTCAAGATACTGGATGCTTATATTGAGCTTCAGGAGTAGGGTCGTTTACTGCAGTTCTTAACACCTTTCTTCCCTTGATATGAGGCTATCTGAGGTGGCATCCTTCACCAGTCTCCTCTTCCCTCTGTGGATGCTATTATTCGTGAGCTCCTCTCCGAGGAAACCTGTTTTAAGACGATCAGTCAGACTCTGTCTCCCTCTGTCATCTTGGCTCCTGCTAAGCCTCCTTTATTATCGACTCCAACTCCTCATCAGCTTCAGGCCACTACGAAACCCAAGAAAGGACCATTAGGTCCAAATAAGTGTGCTTTTTGCCATTAGAGGGGTCATTGGAAGAATAACTGTCCCAAGAAGGGATGTCAGCCTGGTCCGTCTTCTCAGACACAGTTCTACGATCCTACTTCGGGTACTTTCCGACCTCCTACCGCTTATATTGCATCTGCTCGAGCTCCCGATCCTGACTTGGCTTCCTTGAGTGCTCAGATTGTACAACTTCAGCATATTCTGTCCACCTCTCAGTCATCCCCATTTGCCTCCGCTCTTACTTCTCTTCATTCAGGTTTGCTTGGGTCCTTTTCAGGTATCCCTTCTTCTATCTAGCTTTTTGATTATTGTGCCGCTCATCATATGACTCCGCACCTTTCCTTACTTCACAACTGTATTCCCTCACCCGTTCCTATTACTATTAATACTACTAATGGGTCTGGTATATCTGTTCTGTCTATTGGGTCTATCTTGCCCTCTGCCATGTATGTTGTTACTATTCCCTTTGTTCTTTATGTCCCTCGGTTATCTGTCAATTTATTATCTATCAGTCAACTTAATACTTCTGATTTTAATGTTATCTTTTCCTCTGCTATCTATTGTGTGCAAGATCGGGTGTCCAAGAAGCAGATTGAGACTGGCTGTAGAGTTGGAGATTCCTATGTGGTAAAAAGCTTGCATCTCTCCTTATCCACTTCTCCAACTGCACTATCCTCGTTTCAATTAGATTCTCAGTCGAGTCAGTTTACTTATGGCATTCTCGCCTTGATTATTTGTCTATTGACTGCTTACGGTCTTTAGCTCAGTTAGGGTTATTGCGTAAAGTTTCTCCTAGTCAAATTGATGAATGTCAGGGGTATAAACATGCCATAATGTCAGCTTTACCATTTAATAAAAGTAGGTCTATTTCGGTTTCTCCTTTTTCTCTTGTGCATACTGATGTCTGGGAACCCTCTCTTGTTCTTACTAAAGGGGGTTCTGCATACTATGTCTTTTGTTTATGATTGCATCCGCTATACTTGGGTTTATCTTATGACTCATAAATCTGACTTCTACCAAATATACCGTAACTTTCAGTCTATGATCACTACACAGTTTGGATCTACCATTAAATTGTTACAGTCTGACTTAGGTGGGGAGTATTTTAAAACTGAGTTCTATGAGTATCTAGCCAAATTGGGTACCAATCACCAAACTTCCTGTACCAACACATCCACCCAAAATGGTCGTGCTGAGCGTAAACACCATCATCTCCTTGAGACAGCTAGATCTCTCCTTTCTACCTCCGTTCCGGCTCCCTTTTAGGGGGAAGCTGTTCTTATAGCTACTTTTCTTCTTAATCGTATACCTACCCCCTTACTCTTTAGTTATTCCCCTTATGAGGCTCTATTTTCCCAACTCCCCAATTACTCTCTCCTTCGTGTTTTTGGGTCTGCATGTTTTGTCCTCCTTTCCCGAAAAGATAGGATAAAATTTAGTGCCCGATCTGTCCTGTGTGACTTTTTGGGATACAGTCTTACTCAGAAAGGCTATCGCTGTTACAATCCTGTTTCTAGCCGCCTTTATGTCTCTCACTATATTGCCTTCTTGGAGCGTTTAGCTTACTTTCAACTTCCTCCTCTCACTGCTCTAGTTTCTAAAGAAGATTTGGTTCATATTGATCCATTTCCTTCTGAAGTCCCTGCTGATGAATACATCTCTATTGTTCCCTATGACCTTGTTCCTTCTTCTCCTCCTACTACACCTTCGAGTCCCTCTCCACTGTACCCTATGAGTCTGTTCTATCCTCTCCACCTCTTCCCCCGCCTGCTCATTCTCCTCCTCTGTTGTTAGTCTATTCTCGTCTCAAGGCTCTCCCTCCACCAGTTATCTCTGCCCCTGCTGTTGATCCTCCTGCTTCTACCTATCCTGATCTGGCTAACCGTAAGTATCCCCTTCGCATCTGTAAACAGGTAGACAAACTTGATTTTGCTAAAATATGTTTTTCTCCTTCATATTGTACGGTTTTGTCTGCTATTCACTCTTTTTTCAAAACCTTAGTCTTACAAGGAGGCCTGTCAGGATCCTAATTGGATTCAAGCTGTGGAGGATGAGTTGTCTGTATTACAAAAGACTAGTACTTGGGAGCTAGTTCCTCTGTCTGCTAGCAAGAATCTGATTGGTTGCAAATGAGTCTATAAAGTCAAGACTCATTCTAATGGTTCTCTCGAGCGTTATAAAGCTTGTTTAGTTGCTAAAGGTTTCTCACAAGAATATGGTATTGATTATGAGGAGACCTTTACCCTTGTTGCCAAGATGACTACTGTCCGTACTTTGATCTCTGTTGCTACTGTTCATTATTGGCCTCTTTATCAGATGGATGTTAAGAATGCTTTTCTTAATGTCCATCTCACTGAGGAGGCTTATATACGTCCTCCCTCTGGCCTTCACCATTCCTCTGGTCAGGTTTGTCGTCTTGGGCGTGCTCTGTATGATTTGAAGCAATCTCATTGTGCTTGGTATGATCGCTTTCAGACAACTGTTACTGCGCTTGGGTTTCATCCTTGTGCCCATGACTCCGCATTGTTTCTCCTCCACACCTCTACTAGTTTTGTTGCCTTACTATTATATATGGATGACATGATCATCACTGGCTCTGATTCTGACTCTTCTGCTATCTCTGAGGTCAATCATCATCTCTCCCGCACTTTTAAAATGAAAGATCTAGGACAATTGCGATATTTTCTTGGTATTAAGGTGGCTTCGTCTCCCAAGCTTTACTTTCTGTCCCAGGCCAAGTATGCCAATGAGGTTATCCATCGTGCCGATCTTACTGACACTAAGCTTTCTGATACCCCCGTTGAGCTTAATGTGAAGCTCAACACTACTGATGGTGTTCTTCTGGACGATCCTAAGTTATGTCGTGAGCTTATGGGTTACTTAGTCTATCTGACATTAGTCTATCTGACAGTTACTCGCCCTAATCTTGCCTATGTTGTCCATGTGGTTAGTCAATTTGTTTCTGCTCCTCGCTCTACACATTGGGCTATTTTGATTCGGATCCTTTGCTATCTCCGCAGTACTATCTTTCAGGGCTTGCTATTCTCTTCTACTGCTTCCTTAGACTTGGTGGCCTATGATGATGTCGATTGGGCTGGTGATATTAACAATCGTAAATCCACTTCTAGTTTCTGTATGTTTCTTGGTGATTCCCTGATTTCTTAAAAAAGTAACAAACAAACTGTTGTTGCCCGTTCTACTGCCGAAACTGAGTATCGTGCTATGGCTCATGCTACTACTGAAATTGTCTGGCTTCGTGGTCTCTTATTTGACTTGGGCATCCCACAATCTTCCCCAACCTCTCTCTATTGTGACAACCGAAGTGCTATTCAAATTGTTCATAACACTGTCTTCCATGAACAGACAAAGCACATTGAGATTGATTGTCACTTCGGCCGTCAGCATCTGCAGTCTGGCTTTATCTCGCCTTCCTTTTGTCTCTTTGACTCTGCAACTTGCTGACTTCTTCACCAAAACTCACACCACTGCTCGGTTTCGGTTTCGGTTTCTTCTTGGCACTCTCAATGTTTTGGCTAAAACACCTTGAGTTTGAGTGGGGGTGTGAAAATATTGTCTATATTAGGTTTCTCCTTTTTCTTTTTAGTCTTAGAGTTCTATATCAATATGTATTCTTTTAGGCTTAGGAATTATATCAGTATGTATTCTTTTAGGCTTAGAGTTCTATATCAGTATGTATTCTTTTAGGCTTAGAAATTAGAGTTCTATATAAGTGATGTATTCTTTGATTAATTCATTTAGTCTAATATACAGTTTCATTCAGAAAACTTACAGTCCCTAGCATCCTTTCTTAGGTTTTGTTGGTTGATTTGGTTCCTTCTAGGGTTCAGTTGGTGCTTTCTGCTTCTAGAGTGACTGCGAGAATTGGTATTTGCTGCTGGAATTGGTTCATTGGTGTTTTTTTCTTTCTTGTTTGATTGGGTATTTCCTGTTGGTTCTTTATTCATTGGTGAATCAAAATCTCCGATTCTCAAGGATTGATGATTTGCCCAAATCGATCACTACAAAGAAATTAGATGGATAAAATTATTTGACTTGGTCACATGCTGTGAAA